GCGGTCCAAGCACGGATCGCATACCCAGCGACGCGTTCCATACCTCACGCGCGATTGCTTTACACACATGGGTACAATCACGCTGCATGAACCGTGCAGGCTGAACAACCTGCCATATCCCACTTCCACGAGCTTACCAATCGCAAGCCGAAGTAGGATGAGGGGCTTTCGTCCCGTGCGCTCAAGCCTTGTTCTGCGAAGGTTGCCACTATTCTCAATTAACTCGACGCAGTCTCACAGATCCACCTGTAGCGCGTTGAGTGCCGGCCTATTCATCCCGAGCAGATGCCTTGAAACGCGATGCCGTTCGGCCGGCTGGCGTCACCGCGGGGCGTGTGATGTTCACGGGCCCATCCATTACACGCGTCGTGAAACGCTCGCGCCATGATTTCAACGCGACCCGCAGCTGGTCGCGCGCCCCTAAATGGACACTAAACAATCCTAGCCCAACGGCTCAAGCACAGGCTGCTGTGTCCGGAAGCTGCGGAGACAGAGACGGACGGCGCGGGAGTGCCGGCCCGGGGCCTGGACTGCAACTGAGTGCCGGCCTGGAGCCTGGACTGCAGCTGAGTGCCGGCCTGGAGCCTGAACTGCAGCTGAGTGCCAGCCTGGAGCCTGGACTGCAGCTGAGTGCCGGCCCGGGGCCTGGACTGCAGCTGGGTGCCGGCCCGGGGCCTGGACTGCAGCTGGGTGCCGGCCTGGAGCCTGAACTGCAGCTGAGTGCCAGCCTGGAGCCTGGACTGCAGCTGAGTGCCGGCCCGGGGCCTGGACTGCAGCTGAGTGCCGGCCCGGGGCCTGGACTGCAGCTGGGTGCCGGCCTGGGGCCTGGACTGCAGCTGGGTGCCGGCCCGGGGCCTGGACTGCAGCTGAGTGCCGGCCTGGAGCCTGGACTGCAGCTGAGTGTCGGCCTGGAGCCTGGATTGCAGCCTGGTGGCTAGTGTCGTCCACGCAACGGGCTGGCTTCGGCTGGAGACATGGAAACGGGCAGAGATGCAGCTTGCCTGGGACCCACAGCGGTGTCCCAGCAGCCAGTACGGGAACGGCTCCTCCGGATCGCAGCCGACTCTGGCGAGGCGGCCTCTGACGCTGCAGTGACGTCACCAGCACGGAGGACGTGGCTGCGGCACGAGCCGACAGTATCCCATCTGTCGGACTGTGTACTGACGAACGTCAGTGGCATCGTCATTAGAGTCAAGTCACCACAACCTGGCCGAGCGCAAAATCCCTCCATGCCGACGCAACCTTAAACACCACAACACCACCGCGAAGCCCGGCCAGTGAAATTTTACCGCAGCAGGAATCAAAGCCAAGCGTCCCCAACAAGTGCTCAACACTGTCACACTGTCACTGTCACTGCGCCCGTTCCACCACGCGGGCAATACCCTATTAGGGTATGGAAAACTATTTCATTCAAAACGTCACTGCGATGCAGTCTGTGTTTATGTGTGTGTGCGGGGATCGTAGTGTTTGCGCTGCGCGTCCCGGAAACCAGAGGAACAGGGTTCGATTCCTAGCAGTGCCCGTTCTTCCTGCCAGGATGCAGGCAGGCGATGCCATATAGCCTCAGCAGGTGAGTACGTCATAAAGCCGCAATCACACGCGCACATGGCCGCATTACTACTCGGTTCTGGTGAAACGGGATCAGCTGCCTTTGGAAGTATATCTCACCAGAGCCGAGATATTGTTGAACAAAATGATCAGTACCATCGAACGCGTCTGTCATTCCTACAATTTGTTCGCCATCGTTTAAAAGCTGTGAAATCACAACTCAACATTTTCAATTACACCCATGTTTGATGCCGATCCGGCCAATTGCGGCGCGGCTGCTGATTGGCTGGCGGGGTGGGGAGAGCGCTCGGGGAGCTCTCGCGCCATAATCGGCGGGGTTGGGGCTCGAGCCCGGCTCCCAGTCACCACTTGCATTGCCTGGGGCAGCCCAAATAAGCGGGAGAGACTCCGCCGCGAGCTGACGCGAGCTGTTGATCGTGCTGTTAAAACCCAATAGCTCAGGACTGGCAAGTGCGGCGCTGCGGGGTCCCCCCTCCCCTCCCTCCCCATTCCAAGCGTGCTCAGCAAAACGCAGGGCCATACGGAGGTAACTTGAAATTGGAGCAACATTGCAATACCGTGCAATCGACACGTAAGTGAAGCTATTACCGGTAACTGACGTCAGGCCCACCCGCCGGCGATCTGACCTCACGTAGTACAATGTCGGGCACCATGGCCGTTGGGCCGACGCTGGGGGCCAAGACGCGACAGTGGTCTTGCCATATAGCCTCCGGTCATACAAATGCCCGCAAATCACAGGTGTGATGGAAACACATGGTTGTCTTTGGCTCTCAGGCATGGCCTTGACAGCCTCAACTTATGTTTGAGCTTGACAAAATAGACACAGTTGGTCGAAAGTTTGGGAATCCCGGTAAAAACGCCGCGTTTCGTGCCTGTCGTGTGTGAGCCTTCCATTACTGGGCTAATCTCTCGAACCCGCACGCACAACTTCCCCATTACCGGCATGATTACACTCCACTGTCCAAACTCTACTCACCTCACATGAGCCACACATCTTTTAAAAAACACAAACAAGCAGCAACCATCACCTATCCACAAGGAATTTACTCCCACCATGTTCCAGAAAGAAATTGCGTACTCTCGGCGATCAGCTAACTGCATGGGGTACGCATGACAACCGTGCTACCCGTGTCCCAAAACGGGAATTATGCTATTTCAAACTATCGCAGTTGATTCGCATAAACAGGCCTATGCGACAGCCGACGGAACGGAAAGTCACGCTCATTACACAGGCCTGGGAATAACAAATTCCCGGGAATAACAAATTCCTGAGATGAAACAAACCCCAGGCCATTTACCCCACACCCACCCACAGTAGGCTTCAGGACACTAACACCGCACCCGCCGATAGTCGGCTCCAGGACACTAACACCGCACCCGCCGATGGTCGGCTCCAGGACACTAACACCGTACACATCGATGGCTCCAGGACACCGACACCGCACCCGCCGATAGTCGGCTCCAGGACACTAACAACACCGTACACACCGATGGTTCCAGGACACTAACACCACACCCAGCGATCGTAGGCGGGAGTCGGAGCGCTACAGCTGAAACGTGTCGAAAAGACGGCAACTCGATACCATCACTGGATGGGAGACTTTCCTCCCGGGCCGACTCTGAAGGTTGCTGGACGCTGATATGCCTCACCCCTCACATTGGGAAGGCATTTCATTGCCACGCGGCGCCCTTACGACCACAGATGGCCGACAAGGAGGTGGGTTCGAGCCATCCAGCCACATGTGAATCACTCCTGCGGGTACCGGCCCAGCTCTGCGTGCCATCCTATCCCGAAGTTGACGCGGCCTGACCACAAGTTTGGCTGGCAATGACCTGCGCCCCGCCGCCAAACTCGCACGCCTTTGTCGCCCGCGTCACCGTCGGCCCAGACGGTCTCCAGACGCGCAGCACGTACAAAACTCCGCGGCGGGACAATGCCAAGGGGCCCTGAGCAAACGGCACACCTCGTCACGGACCATGTCAGATCTATACGCCATGGCGTCGCTTTACACAAACGAATGCGCCTTGATTGGGACCGAGGGCACCCGAAAACAACTTTTAGAACTATTCCGTTTCGTGAAAATTCCCTTGCTTTTAGATCATGGCATTGTTAAACAATAAAAATATACATCTATCGGCGAATATCAGTACCTAGGACTGTGTTCTGGCATTATGCCTTTACGTTGAACGAATGTTTGCACTTTCTTTATTAGGCGGCAGGGGAAGTGACGGAATAACGATGAACGACTGACGGGTATGGGACCTTTTTATGTGTCGGTGGTGCCCAAAAGAATGAAATGTAAGCGATCCAAACGAGCCATTCCTTCCTTATTCTAGCCCATTCCACGCATCAAGTTATCACAAAGGCAACAAATCCAGCTCGTGCAAGGAGAAATGGTGTACACCTTTGCATTGGACGGGAGTTTTAGGGTTCGTCGACTACGATAGTCACTTTGCCAAAAATGTGCATAATCGGTAACATTTCTGTACTTTGGTACTGAGTGCTGTCACAAGCGCGGATCCAAGGAGGGGGGGGGGGGGGGAGGGGCCGGGGCAGCCAGGCCTCAACTCCCCAAGACGGGCAAAACATGAAGGATCTGAACTTTACAGAAAATCTAAGCAGCCTCCTCTTGAAAGTTTGTTCTAGAGCACTCCTTGGGGTGAATGGAAGCACAGTCGGTAAGTTTTTTTTCTCAAAAAGCATGATATCTGTTTGGGTTTTGGTCCCTAAGCCTGGGTTTGCTCCTAAGAGGCAGCCTCCTGGGCGAGCCTTCGTCATCTTCCGCAGCCACCTAAAACGTTCAGTTCGTCGGAGTCTCAACAGAACACACGTAACCTTTAAATTTAGACCACGTTGTGCATTGCACGCTGTCAGTGTAGCAGTTCTGCTTTGAATACATGCGCCATGTTTAGCACCTAATGTACGCCTAGTCGTACACAAAATCAGAAACAGCCTGAACGGTATGTGAGCTGTACAGCGACCTGCGCAGTTGCTCTCGCAGATGACCACGCCACGGCAGCACAGCGCCCTACCGACTGCGAGTCCGCTGCGCCGTAGCGCAGGTGAGGCCAGCGGTGTCAGCGGCATCAGCAGTGTCGGCGGTGTCGACGGTGTCAGCAGTGTCAGCGGTATCAGCGGTGTCAGCGGTGTAAGCAGCGTCAGCGGTGTCAGTGTCAGCGGTGTCGTCAACAGCGTCAGCGGCGTCAACAGTGTCAGCGGAGTCAGCGGTGTCAGTGTCAGCGGTGTCAACAGTGTCAGCGGCGTCAACGGTGTCAACGGTGTCGGCAGTGTCAGCGGTGTCAGTGGTGTCCCGCCGGACTGAGTGCCAGACGGCGGCCGCGCCCCCGGCCGTGCGGGGGCGGCGCGGCTGGAGGCGCGGGGCAGGCTGGCGCCCATCGTCCGCCGCCGTGGGACGGCGGTCGGCTCTGACCTGGGGTCGCAGTCCGCGGATACGCAGGGCGCCGCCCGGCTCGCTGGCCGCCTCCTCCTGGTGGTGCTGGCAGTCGGCGCCGGCCACCGCCTCCACCGTCACGCCCGGCTCCGGCTCGCCCGTCACGGACGTGACACGGCCCCGCAGGCTGTACGCCACTCGGCGGCCGCTGGAGGGCGACAGAAGCTGCGTGAGGACAAGCCGACATCCACACCTCAGCCACGAACACACAGCCAAAGCACCGGCGGACAAGCTGGAATGCGTGAGACGTGTGGAGCACCGCTCCAGTTCTCGCCCCGGCCGCTGTTGTGACCTCAGCGGCGCGCCGCCGCCGGCCCGTCCACGTTCGCCGCCTGGTCGGCTGTCGGCCCAATCCCGCCAAACGTCACTCTCGTCCCGCGGACCAACGCGGCAACGGCCAAAGTGCCCGCCAGCCACGGAGAGCGTCGGCCTGTCAGCAGACGAGATGTACGGCGGGGAAATGCGGCGCCCACAAGGCCCAGAAAACATCCGGCGTCCGGTGGTGCGTGGGCGGCGGGCCCGCGGCGCACGGCCGCTCCCGGCGCTCTTCACTGGCCTGGCCGGATGTGACCTCCACTGACCAACGGTCACCTGCGGCGTGGCGCCCTCCATTGACCCGATGGTCTGAACCTGACCTCCACAGGCATGTTTGTAATAGTAAGAAAGGGAACGCGACGTACGTTGCCATGTGCCCTGGCACCCCTTGCCAGCCACTGTCATGATCATACTAGCTCCCAGGGGCCACGGCGTAACCGGGATTCGAACCTGACTCCACCCTCCCCCCCCCCCCCCCCCCCACGTGGGACCTGAAAACGTTAACTACTCGGACATGACCTGCCAGCTGCCCCAACCAACCTGACGGCCTGGTCTGACCTGAACTGCGCCGAGCTCTCGTCCGGTCTCCACTGACCTGACCGTCAACTCCAGCGCGGGCCCTCCACTGACCTGACGGCCACCTCCAGTGTGGCTCCCTCTGCGATCTCGGCCATTTTGGACGGCGGCGTGAACTCGTACTCCTTCATCATGGGCCGGATGAAGTACTGGCCAGGGCTGAGCGACAGGAATGCCTGTCTGCCGTCCTCGTCTGCGGACGGGCGGCGGAGGGGCTGGTCGGCGGACGGACGCGGGCTGGTCACACGACAGCCCGGTACGCCGACAGCGGCCGCCGTCCTCACCCGGCTCATGACCCCACAGAAGGAGTGACCCTCTGACACGTGTCGAAAGACGGGGAAAACGGACAGCACGAATGCAATAGAGATAGGAGAGTGGGGGAGCAGGTACGAGACACACACAAAACACGGGCAGACAATGGCAGTGACAAAGGCATGCACGAAGACAGCCCCAGATGCGGAGGCGCCACAAACAGACCCAGAGGCGGGACGGCGCGCGCCACTGACCGGTCAGACTGTTGCGCCGGTAGTCCTTGCCGCCGGACACGGACACCAGCACGCCGCCCAGCGGGCCGCCCTGCTCGTCCGTCACGCGCACGCGCAGCTCGGCCAGCTTGCGCGCGCGGAAGTGGCCGTGCCGCTCGGTGTGGCTGATGACGTAGCCCTCCTTCTCGGCCGTCACCTGGTACTGGCGCTCCGGGTGGAGGGGTCCGATCTGCGGAGGCCGGCAGGCGGCGGTCAGCGTGCTCCGTGGCTCGGGCGGCGACACCAGCGCACAGCGGCCGCCCAGCAGCCGCGGCGGCCGGCAGGCGGCGGTCAGTGCGCTCCGTGGCTCGGGCGGCGATACCAGTACACACCCGCTACCCACCAGCCGAAGCGGCCGGCAGGCGGCGGTCAGTGCGCTCTGTGGCTCGGGCGGCGACACCAGCGCACAGCGACCGCCCACCAGCCGCGGTGCCAGACCGTCCACACGCTATACAGCTCGGCTTTAGCGACACTGGCACAAATCCGCACACGTTGGAAACCAGGATTGGAAGCGGCCGGCGGCAAGTTTCCGCCGGCCGGATTTTACTGATTAAAACCGGCTGGCAGAAACTACTGGTGGCAAAAACTGACAGACTCTGGCAGAAACTCAAGTGCTGCAAAACGTCTTATAAGCCATTGGAGCAGAGCAGAATAGCACAATAGCAAAACAGCAAAACACATGATATTTTAAGCAATGTGTGTTAGTGATGGCATGGTACATTGAGCATTAAGAAAACCAGGGCACGAACAAGGACTGGCCAGAAAAAGCTAGCATATCAGAAGTTGCACGGAATGTTCATGGATAGCTCATTAGTTAGTCATCAAGCAATACAAATATTTCTCATCCATTCCTGTGATTATCTAACTCATAAGTAGGAGTGGAATTACAAACCCGGGGCACCTAAAAACTGTAACCTAAGCCAGACAAAACAAGCTGGAAGAATTCAAACTATCGACAGTAAAACCCACAAAACTTGTAGCATGTTCGCACTATTGAATAATACCAAGAGTGCATAGTCATTGTACGAAGAGAACGTGACCACAGGCACGGCCCACTGACCTGGTAGGTGCCGCGGCTGTCGGTGACCGCCGACACCGGCTCCATCTCGGCGGCCGACACCGTGACCCGAGCGCCGCCCAGCGCCGGCACGATCTGACCTGGGATGGGCGGTGGCGCCAGGTTACCGCAGCCCGGCGGTCACCGCCCACACAGCGACGAGTCACTGCTGCGGCCATCACCGTCACACTGCTGCGGCCGTCACACAGTCCACACAGCGACAAGTCACTGCTGCGGTCGTCACACGGCCCACCCAGCGACGGGTCGCTGCTGCGGCCGTCACACGGCCCACACAGTGACGGGTCACTGCTGCGGCCGTCACACAGCCTACGCAGCGACGGGTCTCTGCTGCGGCCGTCATGCAGCCCACAAAGCGACGGATCACTGCTGCGGTCGTCACACAGTCCACACAGAATCAGGTCAAGGATGCTACCGACCTCCACCGCGCCGCGTTCCGACAACTGCCACGGACCGTATTCACCAGCCCCGACGCCGTTCCCACCACGACGATGTGGTGGTGGCCAGACTGCCACCAGGACACCCCGCCCGTGACATCGATCACCGGCCGACCGGTGGGCACGCTCACCGCTGATGAAGGCGCCGCGGCGCGCCTGGAAGGCGACGGCGTCCGGCAGGCAGTCCTCGCCGGCCGTGATCTGGTGGTACGTGGGCGTGAACAGCAGCGTGTCCGACTGCGGCTGGAATGTGAGCACCTGGCCCGGCCGCGCCGACACAGAGAAGCGGTGCAGGCGCCGGTCGGCCGAGCTTGTCTCCAGCTCGCGCGCCTCGGCGTCCACCGACAGCCGGACGCGCACGTCGTCGGACGCCTGCTCGCAGCGCACGGCGCCGCTCACCGCGTGCGCCTGCGCGCGCAGCTCCAGCGGCGCCGGCGCCGCCGTGTCGGCGCGCACCCGAGCCTCGGCGAAGGTGTGGCAGCCGCGCGGCTCCAGCCAGTAAGCGCCGGCCGTCGGCACGCACAGCCGGTTGGAGCCCGTGGTCAGCTGGGTCTGGCCGGCGGAGGCCGCCGGCTCGCCGTCGGCCGGCCGGTAGTGGAGCGCGGTCGGGTGTGAGGTGACCACGGTCAGCGCGTACCCCGTCTGGGCCAGCCGCACGTCCGACACGTCACTGACGGTGACGGTGACCGGCACAGAGGCCTCCTGCCAGCACCACTCCTCCTGCCGACACAGCCAGGCTCGGTCGTAGGTCACACACAGACAACCCGTCAAGTTACACCCGCCGGGCACAGCTGTCATGCCCAATAGTCGCGGTGCGCGGCAACAAGGACAGGAAACCACTGCAGCGCCGACGAAAAAACTCCAACCCCAAACGTATCTCGAACCATGAACCAGACCAGGCATCTACCGGGGTACAGCGTCACCCAGTACCTGGCGACACGCCACAGCAGCAGTCGCGACAGGCGTGCCCCAGCGGAGCCCGGCTCTCCTCGCGTGCCCCGCCGTCGCCGTCCACCGACCTTGACCGGCGCCACGTCGTACTGTCCGGGCAGCACGTCCTCGAAGCTGAAGCGGCCGCCCTGGTCGGCGACGGCGGTGCGCGGCGCCAGGCCGTCGGCCGTCAGTGTCAGCGGCAGGCCGGCGCACGGCTGCCGGCACGCCACGGCGCCGGAGACGCGGGCCCGGAACGGCGACAGCTGCACGCCGCTGACGGGCGCCGACACGGCCAGCTCCTGCTGCGCCGAGCCGAAGCTGCCGGCCGGCCGGCCACGTCAGGTCACGACCAGGCCGGTCAGTCTCCGCCGGTACGCCGGATGGCGGGCTGACGGTTTGTGTGGCAGCACACAGCGACGCAGGCGTGTCAGACAGGCGGGGCGCGCGCCTCACTGCGAGTCGGGCCATGGTGACACGCCTCCACGGCACGCCGGCGGGCGTCCGGCGGCGCAGCCGGGGGCTGGGCGAGCGGAGTGTTACCGGACAGGACGCCCGCCATCCCACAGCGCAGCCGAAAGCCCATGGTACCCAGCCCACGGCCCTCAGTCCCACGCCACAGCACACGACCCACGATCCAAATAACACAGCCCTCAGCCCACCATTCCCGCAATGTAGCTGGCAGCGAGTGGTGCCGGTACCCCGGCCAAGAGGCCGACGGCGGCGGGAGGCGCACCTGAGACCGCGCCGCTTCTCCTCGTCCGACACCAGCACGCGCAGCCGGTAGGTGGCGGGCCGCACGAACAGGCAGAAGGCGCCGTCGGCCTCCGTGGTCGCCGTGTGCGCCGCGCCCTGCGGGCCGGCTTCGCGCAGCTCCACGGTCCTGCCGGCCGGCGGCACGCCCCGTCACCGCTGGAGCCGGACGGACGGGCGCGACCGGCGGCCCGCTCGCTCACGTCCCGTCCACGGCAGCCGCGCCTTGTGCACGGTGACACGCATGCCAAATGTCATGGCATGGCACGCACGCCATTATTGCGCTCCAACAACGGCATGTCACGACAGTGCCTGCATACGTGAGAAATGTGTGCCGAAAGAGGATGAATTCCAGTAAAAAACGACCTGATAAAAATGGATGCAGCGGGATACGGTGAAAATTATCCAGCCGCGCTCGAGAACGCTACTGCGGGATATGTGTAGCAAACCAGACAACTGATTATCCGATCTCATGAATTGTACAATCCCAACACGCAAACACACGCACATTGATCGACCACGTCTAGTGGATGGTGATGACGATTTGATGTTTTCGGGCGCGCAGATATCACGGCCACGTTACGCCCGTAACTGTTATTCAAGCTGTGCTATGCTTTAACTAGCGAGGAGTAAATATACATGAATCTTAACATCCCTTACAGGCTGGTCTGCGTGTAACAATGCAGAATCCGTTCCCAACATGTCGCAAGGAGTCCAACACTCAGCCTGTCGTCCAAAATGACACCCCTTGTCGTTACTCCCACGTCCCTGGACATGTGGAGACAAGTCGGCGGCGGGCCGACCCTACCTGGGCCCGGGGGCGACGCCTTCAGGCAGGTCGGCCAGCTCCACCCGGCCGCACACGCGCAGACGGGCCGCCACCAGGTCCGGCAGCACCGGCGACGCCGGCGACACGGACACCGGCCGCGGCTCGAACTGCACTGCCTCTGCGGAGCGCCGCGTCCCGAGCGTCGGAGGCGGTGGTCAGCGGCAGGCGCGGCACTCCGCGGTACTCCGGCCACCATCCAGGGTGACAGTACGACGCTCATGGGCCCGCACCAGCATCGGCTACCGCCCAAGGCGATACAAAGACAAAATGGCGGGGTGCGTATCACTAACGAAGGCCGATGAAGGAACACCAGGTTTGCATCACCACACGTCCATAACTACATCGTATTCATGCTGAGACCCAGGCCGCACAGTTCAAAAGCATGTTTCCGCCCGGGCTCGAACCGGGGACCTTCCGCGTGTGAAGCGGACGTGATAACCACTACACTACGGAAACACCCGACAGCCGCCGCCGTCTCCAGCGGCCGGGCCCAGGTGTCCGGGACGTACCTGCCTCCACCGTCAGCTGGTACTGGCCTCGCGTGACGCTCTCCATCACGTATCGGCCGTGGGCGTCCGTGACGGCCACGGGCCGGCCGTCGAGCAGCACGGCGGCGCCGGCCAGGCCCAGCTCGGTGCCGCCCGACACGGAGGTGAGCAGGCGACCACTCACGGTGAAGCCCACCACCTGCCGGCAGCAGGGCGCCCAGCTGACGGTGGCGCACCGGCTGAGACCAGCACCACTTAGCCGTCGCGCTGCTGCGACAGCTGGCCGACACCGAGCACTTGCAGACCATGCTCAATTGAGATGAGTGCTCAGATGAATCTGTTTCGCCGTTTCTATCACCAGGTGTGAAGCATATGTGTTCTTACTTTTGTGTTCAGTGTATGAGGCGCGGACACCGGAAAAGCCATATTGTAGAGGATCCTACACACAAATGATCTATCTATCAATGTTACAGAGGCACCCACAGTGCAGCAACTAGTGTGTGGCACGCACAGGGACACTGCGTCCATTCCAGTGCAAACTGACCTGGAATGGCGTCGGCACAGCGGCGCTGCCCTGCGCCACGGTGACCTCCACCTCGGCGGGGCGCACGTCGAACCGCGTGTTGGGGCTCACGTACACCGGCACCACCGTGTACCTGCGGCGATTGGGGTCACACAATGTACGCCGGCACTAACGTCTACCTGTGGATGAAAGCTGGGGGGGGGGGGGGGCTCACTGCATGAAGACACATGGGCAGTGGGGTACACACATCGGCCACGTGATAACGACCCTATGACAGAGTGACACGCGATGCCTCTTGACTGTCAACTAGTGGCTCCTATTCATCCTGTGTATGCATGCTAACATCAACTCAAATCATATTGCCAGAGAACACGGTGAGGGGCCGCGTAGTTGCACGCACTTGATGATTTCAAGCATCTTTGTTGTGCGGGTGCGGCGCACTAAGACGCAAAATATTTTGAGTACCTTACCTGACTATGAACGCTTGTTCACGAGGCCACGTCAACGTGAGCGTAACACCAGACACCAGTGGGAGCCCATGAAAGCACTGGAGCACATTACAGGTCCCACCAAACTGCTGGGGACATACACGCCATACTGCACACCCTGAACACCGCAGCAGGAAGTCAGGGATGGCACGCATCCACGGCGGCGGCAGCGGCGGGGCGCTCACTCACGTGCCGGCCGGCACCACCGGGAAGAGGAAGCGTCCGGCGGCGTCCGAGGTGACGCGGCAGAGCGGCGGTGCCAGGCCGGCGCGCGCCGTGTACCCCGGCAGCGGCGAGGCCTCGCAGCCGAGCAGCGGCGCCGCCTCCGGCCGCCGGCCGTGCAGCACTAGCGTCACGTCCGGCACCGGCTCACCAGCATTCACCACCTGTTGGCGCGGCGGCGCTGCTCGCGTCACACGGACATGTGTGATGACTGGGCGGGGTCACATAGGGTGCACGGTTACAGAGGCTGCATGAGATCACATATGCTGAAGGGTATCACAGGGTGCAGTCACTGGGCATAGGATCACAGGGTTTGGGAATGCAGGAGAATGTTGTGATGTTTTTGCCACGCAGGCAGGTAATGTAACCACAGATGAGTAACAACACAGGCCATACAGTGACACATGCAGGGTGCCGATCATATAGGGTGCATTGTCACAGGACCAAACATGACTGCCAGGTCATGCAGGGTGATGCGGGGTGTAAGATTACGGCCATGCCACAGCCACACACTGGACAGTGCATGGTGTCTGGTCACTTTCCATATGCACAATTGCTGCATTGCTATCTCATAGCTGCATGCAGCATACATCATGACAGCATTCTAGACTGGATCAATGTATGATTTGAAGACACACTAGCCAGAAGCCTGACCAGAAGCCCATCAGCAGACAAGATGACACCCGACATCACAAACATACACATCGGAGGCGCCACTGTTGAGCCGGCGTCCGCGGCCCGGTCTCTCAGGAGTCATCACCTACCTGTCCGGAGAGGTCGAAGCCAGCCACGGCCAGCTGCTGACCCACGTCGCCGTTGTCTCCGCGCACAGAGACGCTGGTGCGGCCCCTGGCCAGCCGCCACACCGGGTGGCTGGCCGTCACCTGGCGAGGCGACAGGTGGCATCAGCGGCCACCGCCAGGCCCAGTACACACACACACACAGGTCACAAATGGGGGCGTAGAGGCGGGCTGAGGCGCCGACTGGCGCACAGTCACGGAAGCTGCCCTGGCTTAACAAGTCCCGCACAGTCACAGGAGTGGCCCCGGCTCACAGACTCATGCACACGTTTGCCATTATCGTCTTGCCACACAATAGCAGGCGACTGCCTTATTGTCACCGGAAGACAGAGTAACAGGGGGCGCGGCGCAAACCCGAAGGGATGGGGACGCAAAAATCCGTCTGCACCCCAGCCACCAGCCAGCACCCGGTGAAGCCAGGCCGGGGGAGGCGCGGCGGCGGATGGCACCTCGTAGTCTCCGGCTGGTACGGGGCTGAAGGTGAAGCGGCCGCCGGCGCCGGAGGTGGTGCGGCTGTGCAGGCCGGCCGCGTCGCCGCCGGCCGCCGCCGCCGCGCTCAGCGTCACCGTCACACCGGCCGGCCCGTTCGCCGAGCCCAGGCTCACCACCTGCCGGCGGCAAAACACCGCTGACGCAGACGCTTCAGGGTACCGCCAGACACGCGCTCCCTGTTCCGTGATATATCTCGAGATGCGTTCGCAATGACTATCGGTCTTATTGTTCAGATGGGCGAACAGCGGCTAAGGAACGTCATGGAAACAGCTCGAGAATAAATCACAATCTGTGCATGTCAACCACGTGAATTATATTCAGTAAGAACAATGACACCATGCAAATAACTGCGCTTCACTTCCGATACACCTGGTACGTTAGGTTTACATCCAGCGGCGACATTTTGGCAGATATTCATCAGACACTAGCCCAGGGTTGATCTCCCTCAGCGTGTGTGGCCGCGGTCGAGTCAGCGCCTCCTTCGGCGCCAGCCCAGCATTGGCGCACACAGCGGTCGACTGCCGCCGGGGCTGGTGCCCGGCCCCAGCTGTGTGGCCAGCTGGCCCGTCCCACCTGGCCGGTGACGCCGAAGCCACGGAAGCTGAAGTCGATGTCCTGCCCGGCCGAGCAGCGGTCCGTCTGACCGTCAATCGCCAGCGCCACCTGGGACGGCTCGAATGTCCAGCCATCTGGAGGCTCAATCTGCACCCCACCAGGTCATGTCAGATCATGCCCAGTCAGCCACACTGGCCAACAGCACCAAGCTCAATATCTACAATGGCACAATGCTTATTTTGGTTAGGGAGGCAGTTCTCAGCAGCTGATGACCAGCTGCTCAAAGCTGCATTCACAAAACTGTGATGTTTTTGAAAGAAAAAAACATTGTTGTTTTCCATCTGTTGTCAAGTAAAGCATAGTCAGTTTGTGGGCTAAGTAGTTAGACCACAACCAATGGGATCCAAAAAGGCAACAAAGACTCATGCATTTCTAAATCACAGCATACCACTCATTGCTGATGCACTGTCAGCACTGACTGACCACCTCAATTAGTGCTGGCTTAGTCACAGGCACAATATGTGGTATCTATCCCCCAAAGCCTGGTTTATGCATTCACCACATCAGGTCAAAAGCTCCATAGCAAACAAACGGTCTGCAGATCAGTTCTAGCCCAAGCTTCCATGGTTTTCATCCCATGCCCTTTCACACATATGCAAAGCTCTTCATCAGGATCTCTTCATGGAGTATTGGGATTAGATCGGACCTGGCCTAGACCAGACCAGACCAGACCAGATCAGATTGGACCAGACCAGACCAGACTGGGCCAGACCAGACCTGACCTGACCCCAGTGGGTCAGTCAGCAGTCCACTTGCTGACAAAACAGTTGAACACATGATTTCAATTTGGACCCAAACAAGCAGGCAGTTTGAAACTCTCCCACAGCAGCACAAAATAATGCTTTAAAATGTCTGCACCACCACAAAATAATACTTCATACACACCTTGATAACATAGTCACCCTTGTCATACACTGGCATGAAGTAGTAGCCATTATTGGGAGCACAGTCTGTCTGGTACTTCAAGCTTCCTTGTTTGGTATATCTGAAATAAATGTCATTGTTATGTGCCAGATCCAAGCACAGCAGTACAAGTACAGTGGTTTTGGATTCAACATCACATTCTAGAGACATGAAACCATTGCTTTAGACTCTGACTTTGCGGCCCCTAATTTGGAAGCCAGTAAAGTTAGAGACCAGAAAATTGGCTTTGGCTTTGCCTCAGGCAATGATGTTGAATGAGGTAAGGCTGCAATGCGTAGATTATTGGTTGTTTGATCACCACTAAATGCCCACATCGGTCCCCTTGTTGACACTATGACTTATCATATGGCTACAATGTGGACCCGAATGGCCTGTCAGGACTAAAAACGTACACAAGCAAGCTTAACATAATGATTCACTAGTAACTCACAAAACAATGATTCATAATTAATAAATGTTCACTAGTTCCAAGTAAAGACCCAGCAAGAGTCACACCCTTGCAAAACACAGAAAGCATTATACAGCCTCACAAGGCATTATATCAAAAATAAACCAAGCCAGCTATGCATGTCTGAAGAGGAAATCATCCCCCAATGCCTGCAATTAACGTGACCATTCGGCGTTGCGGCAATCAGCAATTCGCGCAAACCACCAATCTTACTCACAGCTTAACTTGAACCTTGGAGTATTCGATATCAACAGAGCTTCTCAAAAACCCACCACATCCTAAAATGTCATCTGACCAGCTTAATGAAACAAGACACGAAAATATCAGAGCTAAAGCCCAGCCACTCATCGCTCCCCCAAGAGCCATTTTCGCCACACCGGCTGCTTTTATTCAAGGGCCGTCATATCGCAGCAGGAACAGACAACCTTCCACCGAGCTTTGATGTCACAGGAGCAATGATTACCATACGCGGCCGCGTATATTAAGGTCAAAATATGCAGGAAATATTGACTGATCAATAAAGTAAGCCTGCTCATATAGCAGGAGTGGTGCAACAGGCGGACAGAGGGCACAGGGGACATTTTTTCCCCTTTGCGGCAGGCAGAAAGGCAAGAGTTGGCTGCCACCAAAAAGCAAAAATTGGGAGTCCGTTTTGGCTATCGTAAGGCATTGCAGCTGCACGAAGGGTGCCGAAGTTCAGATCAAGGGGGCCTCATAACTGAGCTAGAGGGTGATAAATCGTGCTTAGAGGACCGTTTGATATATCAAGAGGCCCGTTTTTTGGGTGCTAAGGTCACTTTTGTGGATAAGGTAATCAATTCTGGTTTGGGAGGCCCAATGTTGTGTTAAGGAGGCCCCTTCGCCGGCTCGGAACGCCCCATTTTTGGTTAGGAAGGCACCCTCTATATTCAGGAGCCCTCATTTCTGGAACAGGAAGCCCCTTTCATGCATCAGACGACCGCGGTTCCAGATCAGGATACCTTGTTTGGTAAAAGCGAGCCCCTTGGCTAGATTTGGAGGCCCCTTCTTGAATCATAAGCATTGTTCTGGCTTACGAGGCTTATCTATGGATTGAGAGGACCCTTCTGGAACAAGAGGTGCTGTTTTAGGTTAGCTTGACCCTTTGCTGGAAAAGTAAAAGGGCCCCACTCTAGATTTGTTGAGCTGTCGACAATTATTTGATTGAATATGATTCATGTAACAGTTTGGTAAGGCGCGCATGCTCTTCGGTGCCCCTCCCCCTTGAATGCGACGCTGTGCAGAAGGCCACCCTGTGGAAGGCCCCATTTTGTATTGGAGATACCCTGGAAAATCCTGCTTCCCCTGACTTAAAACCCATGGCGTCATGTCAGGTGTGTCATGTCAAAACCCCGTCATGCAGTGGCAGGATACAGGTAGTCAAAACAGAGCTTCAATTCGCTGGATTTAACTTATTCTCCAGAGAATTGCTGATAACATTGCTGATAAGGGCCAGCGAAAGAACTTCGGCCGTTGGGCAGGGACTCAAACGTCAGTCGAATGGTCTCTTGCGCTGATACGGGTTGGATTCTGGAACGATACACTTGGTCAGAAACACTGATACCATGTCAGCTCGGTGTGGGTTTGCGCCCTAGGGCCCATTTTCTAGGCAGGAGCAAGGCCGGGACCCCCATTATTAATGAAGGTCTTCTGCATTAGCTGGGCCGCTGAGACAAAAAGGGGCCCGAAGTGCTTAACAGTGGACCCCGTGTTGGTAAGGATGAGGAGCTCCAAGTCGGCAAGAGCCGTGTTTGGTGAAAAGAAACGGGGGCGAACCTCGAATGTCGGAGGGCTGATTGCGTTGGCCGTGGTCCTCTGGAAATGTACGGAGATATGAGAAATAGAGATAAGAGAGTTCACATTGAGAAAATGAAAGGGCATTGTGGCCACTTCATTCTGACCACGAAGCGACGCGCAGGCCAGCTGCAGTTAGCGATGATGCTCACTACATTTAAGGGATACTTGAACGAAGAAGGTCATATCGATCGATCAGCGAGCTGCAATGAAGACAGATAGTGATCTCAGAGTGAATAAACGCATGTCTGATGTTTTCCATTCAATGCCGTAGCGTTGCAAACTGCGGGCCGGCTTGCTAGCATGGGGACACGCATTGTCGGTTGGCCGATCCAATAAAATGTATGCTCTGATCGAAGCAACGCACTGCAACGCTTTGTTTACTGCATTTAGGGGATATTTCAACAAAAAAGGTTACATCGATCGATCAGCGACTTGTATTAAAAGACAATAACGCTCCTGCAGTGAATAAACGTACGTCTACTTTTTTCAGTTAAACGCCGTAACTTTCCAAATCACCGGCCGGCTCGCTAGCATGGGGACAAACATTGTCGGGTGGTCAAGGAAATAGAATCGATACCTTAATCGGACCAGTGCGTTGTTATGGAAGCCAATCGCTCTATAGCAGTGGTAGCAAAAGCTGACAGTTCCACTTCCCACGCGCACTTTAAAGCATTTTTCAAAGTTCTTTTCAGCAGGTTGTTGTAATCTCGTCACCACGTTACGGCTACAGCGGTCACAGTCAACGTCGCGCCGGAAAGAGGTAAGTTGAAAAACTCATAGTAACCGATAAGCAGTTCATATAACCAGCGGATGGTGTTCGCACAATGATTCGAGTGAGCATGTTTGCGCCCGCCGCGCACGAGAAAATGTGTTCGGAATAAGACGCCGTCACTTTGATCATCGCGGCTGCGGATAGCCCTCAAGCATAGAGTGAGACGCTCTCGCTAGTCGAGTGAAAAAAATGCATGCCACCATCGGACTAGTGAAGAAAAATGGCGCATCAAGACGAGGGTGAAGGGAATACGAGCCTCCGTTATGCGGAGAAGATTCTCGTTTTTGTTAAACATTGGCAAAATCCTTCACACACATTATACACACCATTATACACACCTTTATACTTAATAAATTGAAAAAGAGTTGCCATGGGATGTGCTTGCATCCGATAAGCATATAGCAGCGCTTCTAATGCAGTCACTCTCTTCGTGTGCCATTGCAGGCACGTTCCCTATCCGTTGCATGCTTGCCATCGGGGTGCGAGCATGCCGGACTCACTTAGCAATGTACCGTCAGGGGTGGCGTGAACAAAAAAGGTGATTTCGGGCGATGAGCAATTTGCAGTGCGGAGCGATAGTGGTCCCAGAATAACGTCACGTAAATATGGCCACACCCGTAATGCACGACCAAAGGTATCATGGATTTAACGCAGTAACATTGCAAATTCTTGCTCCGGACGCCCCAACAATGTTAGCGGGGACGATGTCGGGAAGTCGACTGACTAAAATGAGTACCTTAATCGGGCAAGTCTGTCCAACTGGCAGCTGATAACCACATCCCAGCGCCACCGAATGCATATAGTTGCCCGCTTCGTTCGCGATGTTAAGTACTTTTCCCGGGCCGTCACGCGCAATTATAAGCATTTGTTCCTGGACATCGTACTTTGGTCATCAGTTTACCGGGAGGCTGCCCTCTTTTTAACAATGTGCCGTCAAGGGATGATTTGAACAAAACTGTGATGCCTTCCTTTGAATAATTTGCACTGCCGGCGGATGGTGGTCACACATTGACATCGCGTGCTAATGGTCCGACTCACAGCGCACAACTAAAATTGTTTGAGACTGGGCTTCGTGACATCGCACATCACCTCTGTGGGCGGCATGTCATCATCATGAGAGGGACGATGTTGGGGGGAGGGGGGGCTGTATAATATGGACATGCTAACTGAACAATTGTTTTGTACTTCCAGCTGATAGCCAATGAGCAGTGCTATCAAATGCACACAGTCGAGTGCGAGAAGAAAAGTTTTTCCGCACCACCGTATTCCGATCATCACGCTTCAAGGATGGCGCAGTTAGCGACGCGCCGCGAAGGGGTAACTTGAACATAAAAAGTATTTTCGTCCGAAAACGATTTACATTGCCGATCGATAGTGACCACACAGTGAATGCAGCTGGTTGCACCCGCTACGCTCGTCTCGAAGTATTTTTATTTGGCCTCACACCTTGGAAATCGGCACTGCGGTCGCCCGACCAACATTGAGTGAGGCGCTGGTGGGAATCGGCCAAATCAAATGGATTTTATAGTAGTACAAGTGTGCTACACTGGCAGGTGATGGCTCACACCAGCTCTGGCCAACGCATAAGGTAATAAACCGTTCGTCGTCGACACGTTCGTCGTCGTCGTTCAAGCCATTCGTCGGCTGACATGAACTTATCTTAATCGATCTTTGACGGCACATTTCTAACTACGGCCGGCCTGCCCGTAACAGGATAGCCAAAATACGGTGACCCGGGAAAAATACTCAGAATCGCGCGCGAAAGCGCCGACTGCGTGCATCCCATTGCACTGGTACAGGGCTATCAGTTTCCAGTAGATCGCACCTGTCCGATAAGAGGATCCATCGCGGCCGGCCCGCCCGCGGACCTGAGCGGACGGGCGGCCGCGACCGACGACGCTGCGGAATGCTCGCGGCGGGCCAACATTTCTACGGAGTCACATGACATAACCGCGCGCTCCCGAGGATACACGCCATTGCGCTCAGAATTGCACAAAGAGCACGCTTGCTTAAATTTGCGTTGGTAGGAGACATAGTCTCGTAGGCATGATGTAAAGCCAAAAGTGCCATGTCCTGGAAAATCTTATCTCTGACCTGGCATGATGGGGTCAATCACCAACCTAAAAACACAGGAGCTAACACTAGTCGCGAGGTATCTTTGAGCTCTCTCAACTCATCTCATCTCACCCAATCCACTGGCGTTTTCCTCTAAGCTCCATTTTTATTGGTTAAGAAACGCCAGCGGAGGTTCGCACCCCCTACCAGCCCACGTTGGGAACAAAAAGGCGAATCTGGACGGGGGTGAAGGGAGTGGGAGCCTCCGTAATGCGGAGAAGATTCTCGTTTTGTTGAGCAATGACAAAATCCTTCGTAGCGAATTCTGCAAATATTTATTAACGACCTAAAAACGAGACAAATGACGCCCGTCGCCATGCCAAAACAAAGTCCTGAAACATCAGCACGGCGCGCGGCGCACGCCCGTGTATCACAAGAGCAGCTTTGGTAAGTACGCGGGCGATGCTAGTGAGAGTCGGCGCATTCGCACGCTGATAGCCCGAACCAGGAATGTACAGAAGCCTTGCTCGTCGCAGTGCCATCTCTACAACACATGTTGTGTATCAGCTGCTTGCTATGGGATCCACATGCTGGTTCCATTAACTGACCTTAATGCCAGAATAAGTAAAATAACTAAGTCGTACGCGATGTTTTAATGAGCTACACGGGAATGCAGAGCAGATGTTAGGTGAAAAAGGCACGCTAATGCATTTCGCTGAGTAGTAGTC